GCTATAGGCGTAGAGTTACTTCTTCTATATCGCTATCTCTCTTTTAAATCTACCGCGCCCTTATCGCTAAGAGGTCTTCCCTCGTTTCTACGGTATTCTAGGGTAAGGTACTCTAGGTTAGTATTTCTAGTTCGATAGAAATAATAGCTTCGATACTATAGGCGAATCGGAAAGGAGAGACACTAGTAGTAGCGTTAATAGTTACCCTATTAGCAAAAACGGTAGTATATAGTATAGAGGACTAAGGAATCCTTTAGCCTATTTCCGTAGACTTAGTGTATCCTTCTATTATCTTCGAGGGAGCGTCTTTTATCGTTCGTATCGCGCGTTCTATAGGCCTATTTACCTAAGGGTAGTACGTTAAAATTAATACTACGCGAATATTATATTTATTAAGAAAGCTACGAAGCTTATTACGTATTTTAGGGCTATAATCTAGGATAACCTCTAGGGGGACATCGTATCGGTAGATAATATTTTCCTATATAAAGACCGCTATCGATTTAGGACTCCGATCCTTTAATATCTTTACTTCTAGCTATCCGCTAATAGAGTCTCGGGCCTAAACTAGGATGTAGTATTCGGCTTTCTTAGCTATCGGCGTAGTATCGACGAACCACTTCTCCTATAGTCGTAGAGGTTTAGTAGGCGTATATAGCTCGTTAATACGAATAGGATCTCTAGCCTAGTAAGCGAAGTAGGATTTAACGTACATAGAAACCTATTTATATATTCTAGTCTAGTAGTAATATTTTCTTAGTAGATAGTACGTAGCTTCGCGTCCTTTATACGCTATTTCCTTATACACTCCGGCTAGTACTCTCTAGCGGTTATTCTTATTATCGAGGACCCTTACTAGGAATAGATCCCTATACTTCCCGCGGAGAAATAGCTTATCCTTATATATAGTAAATTTTAAAGCCTTTCTGTTAAAAGTAGAGAACTACCCTCGAGATAACCTATTAGGGCGGCGAAGACTAGTAAGATACTATATAATCCTTTCTAACTCGTCGGAGTACGTTTTATTAAGAACTCTTACTTCTCGCCGACCTTCTCCTTCTTCTTCCTCTACTATACTCGCCGAAATAGGGTAAACGTAAGCTTATAGGTAAGAAACCTCCGCTACGATAAAATTATTAAGATCTAGTTCTATTCGCTAATCCTCTAGTTCTTACTCTATCGTAGGGCGTTAAGAAAGGCCGTCGGTAGTACTATTTCTATAGCTAGGGACGTACTTTATATCGAAATCGAATATACGGATCTATATAAGCTAGCGAGTAATAAGGGCACTAGGGAGATCCGAAGTAGGATAATTTAACTACACTACTAGCGTATTAGTATCTATCTCTAATATAAAATAAATACCGTATAGCTAGTGTCTAAATTTCTTAAAGGCTTTAAGGATATCACGATACTCTAACTTCCCTATATCGTATTAGGCCTCTACTAATGACTATACTCTAGATTTATACCTTACTACCCTCCTTACCCTATTACGGAGCTAAATAAGCACTCCTCCCTATCCTTTCCCTAATATATCTACTATAACGATAATCCCTAGGGGCTTAAGGTTATAATCGATAGAAATAGCGGCCGGGAAGGAGTATAGTATCTCTTTTACCTTATCGAAGGACCCTTAATATTCTTCTTCCTAGAAGAAGACGGTATTCTTCTTAAGGACGGTATATAATAGCGCTATAATAACCTAGAACTTTTCGACTAAGATCCTAAAGTAAATAGCGAGTCCGATAAAAGAACGAACTTCCTTTTTCGAGTAGGGAATAGGCTAGTTCGCTAGTTTAGTAATCTTCCTCTCGTTAGGCCGTCGTCTATTTATATCGTATATCTAGCCGATAAGTTCTATCCCTAATATTATAAACTAGGATTTCTCTATAGAGACTACCGCGCCGGCTAATTCTAATAGGTAAAGTGTCTTATCTAGATTCTAAAGATACTCTAGAACGAACTTTCTAATACTAGGTCGTGTAAATTCCTCGTTATACCGAGTCCTTAGCCCCTTTATAGGGATATTATTAAGAAAAGGTCTAGCGAACGATAGGACGTCTTTAAGAATCTAGGAAATAACTCTCTAGAATTAGGCTATCGAGTTCGTAGTACCCTATAGTAGAGTAGTCTATCTTAATAGACCTAGGGTCGTTTAAATAGTGGTTATATCCCTATCGAGTTTATATAGAGTAATCTAGTCGTACCTAGAGAAGAGATCTACTAGCGAAGTTATAGCTATCCTAGCGAATTCTTCGATAAACTCGTTAGCATTCGGAGGTATATTCGCGTTACGAATAGTTACTTTATTAATATATATAGTAGTATTTACTAGACGATATTTACCGGACTTCTTCGACACTAGGAACTAGGGATTTCGGTATAGCCTATAGTATAGTTCTAGCACTCCTTTCCTTATTCGGTTAAGTAGTATCTTATTTACTATAGGGGTTAGCGATATAGGGATACGAAAACCCGGATAATACTAGGCCTTATAGGGTACCGTTCGTATACGCTATAGAGGAATAACCTCGTCGCGGATTCGACCTATATATTCCTAGTCCTAGGTAAGTACTCCTTCTCTCTTAAAGAGAAGTTCCCTTAATAACTCCTTCTCTTTCGGTAGTAAGTCGCCGCTAACTAGTAACTTCTCTTCTCTTTCCGGCGTTAGGCGAGTACCGCGCGTAATATAAGATATCCTCGGAGATAAAAGGTCGTTAAATTCGGTTTACTCGTCCCTTACGTAGTACTAGGTATAGTACCGTTTAAGATACCTTCTTTACTAGTCTATAAAGCTAATAGGTATAGAGCCGTCGGATTCTAACGAGTTAATAGGTTAGACTTTATTAGCGACGCGTTTATAAAGTATATTAACTTCTACGTATAGAGTAGTACCCTTCGGATAGACTATATCGAAAGCTCTCTCTAGTACCGCGCGTCTTTCCTCCTCTTTCCTATTCTTTCTTTTCCTAGGGTCTTATAGTTATCGACGAGGAATTTGAAATTCTAAAAAGGACCTCTAGTACTCTATATCCTTCTCTTTCGCCCCGACCGAATACTATCGTAAGAAACCGTCCTATTTTTCTAGTAATAGCTAGGCTTTAATAGCTTCCTTATTTAGACGATTATAAAGACCGAGTTTTTCTACGGGGGAAACCACCGGGCTCCCTTTAGATAAAGGTTCTTTAGTTAAAAGGGGTTTTTCGGTAGAAATACCCCGCTACCTAATATCCTCCCCTCGCTTTAAAATACGTATAGGACTACCTCTAGCTAACACTCTAAAATCCGTAGATATAATAGGATTCTCTAAGGAAACGCTATAGACGCTAGGAATAAGGGTCTTAACGGAAATCGCCGAAATAGGAGCGATATAAGGAAAATAAGGATATATCCCTAGTTCTTTAGACGTAGTAGAAGCATCCCGGGTAATTAGGCTCCTACTACGGCTTTTAAAGACGATACTAGTAGTATATTATACTCTCCTTCTAAATCCTCTTTCGGCTAAAGCTAATCCTCCTATATAGAATCTCTACGATCGGAAGTATACGCACTAAAAGTTAGGCGCCGTAACCGGTCTTTCGAGTAGACTAAAACTACTATACTCCCGTCTCTCCTCTCCGCTATATATACTATTATATCTCGATACTATATACGACTAAGGATAATATCGGCGCTAACGTCCTTAGCTACTATAGTACTTATACGCGTAGTTATATCGCTGATAGCTACCGGTAAGTCCTTAATCGCGCTATAAAACGGTATAACCCTCCTATCGAAAGGTATTATATATAGACGTAGATTTCTTCTAATAGAAGACGATAGGAATTCGGCCGTTCTTAATAGTATTAGGTTTATAGCCGACCCCGAGTTAATCACCGTATTAAGTTTATAACCGTCGACGAAAATCTTCGCCTTTAGTAATCCTCTCGTATATTCCTTAGGAGTAGGAGTAGTGTCTACTAGTCGGATAAGTTCCGACCGCCTATTATCTACGGTAGTAGCGCTAACGTTTATTACTTCGGTCCTCTAGGGCTACTTTCCTTTAGAATCCTCCGAAACGCCTACGCCTATTAAGGATATATAAGCTATAGGTATCGGCCCGTTATACTAATTTACTATAGTATATAGTTAACTACGTAGCTATAGAGATAGAAATAGAATATCGCTAATAGTAATATTAGAAGGAGTAGGGGTTATTAGGAACTTATTAGTTATTTCTTCCTTCTTCTTTTCTCTAGTAACGGCGTCTATAGTCCTTATCGTACTTTTTTATAGAGGAACTCTAGTACCGTCTTCGGTAGAAATCCCTATAGGCCTATTCGGGATTAATATCTCTCTCTAGGTCTACGATTCTAGTACGTATTCCTAAGTATTAATAGGTTCTTTAACTACCGTATCTATTATTACTACCTCGTCTATAGTAGTAGGCGGTTAGTATCGACCGGTACGTTTATTTCTCGATCTAGTAATATTAGTATATCGACGTTTTATTCCTACTAATTATCCTTTAATCGTATTAACTTCTCTATACGGTACTTCTTCGATATCGTTATCTAGGATATCGCTATATTTAGAAATATAGCCGATTCCTACGCTTATATAATTCACGCTAATCGCCTATCCTTCTTTCGGTAGAATACCGTTAAGATAATCTTCTTTATTATAAGCGTTAACGTCTACGCCGCTATCTATTAGTAGGTATATTTGTCACGGGTTAGACCCGCTTCTTACTATGTGGCCCTACCACATAGCCTTCCCCGCACGTTCCGTTCTGCCACCGCCCTATATACTTACTTCTATTGTTACTCCGCTTGATCCACTCCTTCTCTTCTCCAAGCTTTTTGTAAACAGCATGTTGGCCTAGTTAGATTGAATTTAAGTCTTACTTCAGCCCTTCACATACAAAAAGCTTCCTTCTCGTGATCGAGTCGTACCAGATCCAGTCAGCCAGCCAGATTTTCTTTTCCTCCTAGCCAGACCCCCGATTCCCCGCCGAAATGGACCAGAACCAGCCCCTTTTCGCTTTAATCCAGCAACTCCAGCAACAACTCGTCGACCAGCAACGCCAGCTAGAAGCCCTTACGCCTACTCGACCCCAGTTCAGATTACCAGATCCGCCTAGATTCGACGGCCGACCATTTAGTCTAAAGACGTGGCTTCCAGCTATTCAAGCAAAGCTACGGTCGGACGGCTTAGTCGGTCAACCAGCATTTAACTACGTTTACGATCGCCTCGAGCCATCCCAGCAAGCCTCAGTCTTACATCTTCGCGAAACCAACCCAACACCCGAAGCAGTCTTCCAGTACTTCGAACGTCTTTGTTATAACCCTCGTGAGAAACAAGATGCAGTGCTACGATTCGCCAATATCCGCCAGAAAGACGACGAAAGCCTAGTCGCCTACCTCGCCCGATTCGAACGTCTATCGCATGAAGCTAAGGTCCATCAGCAAGATCTCCTTCGTACGATTACCCTACACCGTGGCCTACGGCCCACGTTACGCCAGATCCTCGAGCAATCTTATGATACTCTATTCGATCTCGAATACGATGATTATATTGAACTACTCCAGCGCCACGATCGCCGCCAGCAGCGCCCGATTATCCAGAACCAGCAACGCCAGAACCAGATTAGCCAGAACCAGATTAGCCAGAACCAGACCCGCCAGACCCAGTCTCGCCAAAGCCAGCTAGACCTAATGGACCTTGACCCGATTCGCGTACGAACAGCCAGAATCAAGCCAGCTATACCTACTAGTTCAGCCCCAGGGCCCCCGAAGGATCCTGCAAAATACCTTAAGGACAAGATCGACACAGCTACACTCTATACCGATGAAGATCGCGAATACCGTCGTGCTCGACGAAGCCTACTTAGCCAGTGCTACTGCTGTGGCTCCTCAAATCATTGGATTTCCGATTGCCCTGTTTCCCGCTCCCGTTCTTCCAGCGCGTCTAGTAGACGGCCTACGCCGTATGACGCTTATCCCTCCGACGACGACCCCTAGGAGGGGGTAATGTCACGGGTTAGACCCGCTTCTTACTATGTGGCCCTACCACATAGCCTTCCCCGCACGTTCCGTTCTGCCACCGCCCTATATACTTACTTCTATTGTTACTCCGCTTGATCCACTCCTTCTCTTCTCCAAGCTTTTTGTAAACAGCATGTTGGCCTAGTTAGATTGAATTTAAGTCTTACTTCAGCCCTTCACAATATTAAAATATTAATCTAGCCTACGCCTATATCCGGTCTAGGCGCTATCGTAGCCGGTAGGGCTATACTATTTCGCTAACGGATATATTAATCTTTAATAACATCTTTAAAGAATTTACACTAACGCTTCCGTACTATAGGGCCACCCTCTCTAGGACGTCTAAGATATAGCCTCTTATCCTTACCTTAGTAGACCTTCCTATAGGCTACTATATTATTAAGCGACGGGTAGACGTAGATTAAGTGGTTCTACCCGTATCCCTAGTACGCGTAGCCTCCTTACGGCGGAGTATCCGGCGGTATATATAATAGATTATTTCGTACGTCCCTACGCGAACTAGCGATATTAGATAGATTAATCTAAATCCTATTAATCTCGCTTTTAGTACGTATCTCTATCTCTTTAGCGCATAAATCTATATCGTCTAACGCTTTAGCTAGTTTATCTATATCTTCTTTAGACACCCCGGACGAGCTATACCCCGGCTTTATTAAAGACGGAGGTAATTAAGGAGGACTAGTCCGAGATAATATATCGCGTTTATCCTTCTTACTTATCTTAAGCGTTAGGGCTCTAATAGTATTAGTCGTAGTATAGCCTATACTACGCTAAAAGTTCTTTTCTACTTCTATAATACTTCGGACGGTAGATTCGAGCCACTCGTACTAGAGAGGGCGAGAGCTTTAAGACGGATTCTTAAGTTAATTCTCTTATATTTAATAAGCTTAGCTTTTAGCTTCTTTAGTAGGCCCTAGATAAATTTCTCGTAGCGTTCGATCTTACTAAGGTCCCCCCTTTATACGAGGACTAAAGAAATCGCTAAGAAGGTAGTTATATACTCGGGAAGATAATCGTCCTACTCTCGCTGCTTTAAGTAGTAGGTATTAAGAAAACTTCGCGAGAATATCTTCTATTTATTATCGGTTTCCTTATACTAGAGGGTAAATTCGGAGATAAATTAATCTCGTTAACGATTCTTCTAGGACTCCTATCCCTCTATCTAGGAACGAACTATCTAGCTATAGTATTCCGGTAAGATACGTAGAAAACGGTCGTCGTCGCGAATCCTATATCTCTTATATATACCTATTATCCTTCTAATAAAATAGGTTATATCCGCGCCTTTAAAGATCGGCGAACTATTCACACTAGGTTCTAGTATAGTAGTTATCGGTATCGGTATCGGATAATATATTAGCTAAGGGGGCGGTATTATAACTAGGGGTGCTCTAGGAGCCGGGGCCGGAGCTATACTAGGAGGTTTCGAATAAAACGGGGGTACTAGCGGTGCTCCTTCGGTCGGCGGAGGCGGTCTATAAGCACTAGAAGCCTTAGAGAGAGTATAGTTCTCTCGATATCCTTTAAAGGGACGAAGATTTTCTCTAGCGGTATCGTTCGGAGATATATTTTCGGTATTTTAATATTTTTCTTATTAATAAAAGATAGGTAAAGTAGTAACGGAGGTAAATAATAAACTAAAAGGTAAATCTCTCGATTAGAAAGAGAAATTGAAATCGGATAACGAATTTAACGAATTTAACAAATTTAAAAGGGGATAGTTCTTCTTCTTTAATTCTTCTTCTTCGGAATTTATAGTAACCGTATTACTAGTCCTAAAATTTTCTTCGATAGTTATTAATACCTCTAATAGACGTTCGGTTTCTTCTTCTTTATCTTCTTTCCGCTTCTCCTTATACTTATTTCTATATACTTCTTCTCTATACCGATAGAGAAGGTAGCGGGCTAATAAGGAGAGTAGGAGATACGATACGGCCGCGTACTATATACTATAGAAAGACGGGTAAATACGATCTATTCTCTAATATAATTAGTTAGGACTTATCTTTAGTAATTCTTAGAGCGCTAAGGTATCTCTAGAAAACTATTCTATAAGCGCGATTCGTACGCTCTACGTATACTATAGGCTAGCTATCTTCGGTCGGTGAAGATTTCTTCTAATTAGATAGGATATATCTCGACGACGCGATATATTATATCTACTACGCGTTTATCGGGGATAGCTTCCTCGAGCTAAGGGGAAGGCCTCTATTAGGGTTAAATGTGTCCCCTAGCTTTTTTAGGTTATCTAAGCTCTAGTTACCGTTTCTCGATCGTCTCAGACACCTTTTAGGTTAAATTACTAAAGCGAAAGCCCCCTACGTCGGTCACTATATAAACGAGGGGAATATACTATAGTAGTCTAAGTAGAATAGATAGGTCGAGGCACGAAAGAGATAGGTAACTAAAAGAGAAAAGAAAACCACCTAATAGGGATTAAGCAGAGATTATATAACACCCCTACTAATAAGGACTCGGCCTAGTTAGGATAAAAGATATACTCTAGCTAAGCCGCTGCTTATAAGAGAACCGTAAGGACCGGAAGAATAGAGAAAATAATATGAATTAGTAACGAATGAATATCTCGCATAAAGAAAGAGCTACTCTACTGTATATAGTATACGTATCTCTCTCTCTCTCGTGTGTTAAAGCCGATCAGACTATATAAAAAACAATCCTCTAAACTAGTACTCCGGACCAAAGAGACTAATAAGGCCGAATACCTAAGTAAGGACCGGTAACCTAACTAATCAAAAATAGCACCAAAATCCGTTAGTAGTTCCCCCACTACACTACTTAAATACTACGCATACTAGGTACCCTAGATTACTACTATTAAGGACTATATAGTAGCTAATAGTGTATAGAAATATACTAATCCCGACCTTACTATACCTACGGCTACGCTATAGGAACCTATTAAACCACTTCTATCTAATGCTTTTAAAAAACCTTCTAATATATTTATATTAGAAGAACTAAAGCTTATTAACCTTACTTCCGACTAATTAGCTATCTATAAGATACTACTAAGCGAGTACGAGTTATTAAGATTAGACTATCTTCGCTATCTTCGAGCTATTAAATCTCTTAAATAAGGTATTCATTCCTCTCTTATACCTAAAGGAAGATAGATTATTAATAGGTTATCTATATATAAAGCTATTATTAAGCTAAAAGTAACCTTTACCCTATCTAACTAATCGAAGAATCGTTAAATCCTACGTAACTAGGATACGATAAAATGTTAGAGCCTACTAACTAAAGCCTCCCTACTACCTATATAGGGCTAAAAGTAGATAATTATCTAAGTAGAAGGCGAGAAGATAGGAATTACCTACTTCTAAGAGCCTACCTTACTAGTATACGATTTCCTAGAGGTAATTTAGCCTAGCGACTAAGGATTCTATATTTTCTAGTATAATACGATTCTATAAGGGATAAAATAGCCTACTTTAATAGAGCTACTTAACTAGTTTATTAACTAGTATCGACCGACTATCTCGTCTAGTAAGCGCCTACTAATATATCCTATATTTTAAGGTTATTAATTAGACGAGGGATCGGACGAAGAACTAACTACACCGGAACCTTCGAATATACTAAACTAGCCTAACCGAACTAGGAAGTGCCCTTATAGAGGTACTCCTAACTATAGTAACCACGATTTTAAGAAATACCGATATATTAATCTAAAGGCTAGACTAAAGGGCTAATAACTAGACGAGAAGATTAAAGAGCTATTTAAAAAATAATACGAATCTTCGCTAGGTTTTAAATCTACCTACTAATACGCTCTTAAGTAATTTTAACTAAATAACTAATCTAATATCTAATTAGATAACTAATCTACTAGAGAAAGAGACGCCTTTACTACCTATATACCGAAATAGTAAGTAGAAACCCTCTTTCGAGAAGAGGACGGTGTCGCGATAAGTACTATTAGGATTAATACTAAGAAAAACGATACCTAGTGCTATAATACTAGAGCCTCTATTTATTTCACAAATAATAGAAACCTACTATAGAACTATAGATCTACGATATCTTCTATTATAGTTAGAGATACCGAAACTATAATCCTTAGCTACGGAGAGCTCTAAGTTAAACTAATAAACTCTCTTAATAGTACTACTTTCCCTCTAAAATAAGTTACCTATTACCCTAGATTCTATATTAACCTAATCTCCGTAGAAAGAGCTACTAACGTAGGAATCTATCTAAATAGTAAAAACTATACGCTAGAAGATCGAGATAGGACGCCTATCTATAAACTTAATACGAAATTAGGTATCTATCTAATCCGATAGGACGATTTAATAACTAACTAACTAACTACTAATTATATTATTATCTTACTAACCTCTTAATCTCCTCTTATTAACGAATTTAGTAAGATAGCCCTATCGTTATATACTAAGAAATAACTAGATAGGACGGTTAACTAGTAGCACCGAAGACTAGGCTATATTAGTAATAATATCCTATCTAATCTACTAGACTACTTATTAAACGTAACCGTTATAGATATATCTTCGCTAATTAGCCACTATAAGATATATAAAATAGCTAACTTACTACATTAAATCTCTCGATTACCTATATAGTATAACCGACCTTTCGAATCCCTATACTAGGACCTTATATACTTTAAGCTATCACTAGCTAGGACGACCTATCTATCCTATTCTATTAATCCTATTACTAAATACTAATTAGTAGAGGACCTTCCTTCTAAGACCGATTTAGTATAATCTCTCTACGATTAGATCGATTTTATTAAGAAGTAATTCGACCTATATATCCTAATAATCTACTCGGACGAAGAGAAGTCTCTATCTAATTTCTTTACTAATAAGGCTAAATTATAAGGAATTAACCTAGAAACTACGCCGCCCTACTAACCTAACTAAATAGCTATACTAAACGATATAGTATATTAATTTTAAAGATAG